ATTCTATTACCTCCTACCAGGTCTCTGCCACAACACATGGGAATTCAAGATAAGATTTGGGTCCTTGAGTCCAGCCAAACCCTGTGACCCAGGCTGGTCTTGAACTCCAGGACTCAAGGAATTCTCCCACCTCAGCCTCCCAAAGTGCTGGGATTACAGGCATGAGCCACCACACGTGGTCTGTTTCCTTTTCTAATGTGTGCATTTAGTACTAAAACTTTTTCTCATGGCATTGATTTAGCTTATCACCATGTAATGATGTCCGCATATTACCAGTTCAAGTGAAGTATAGAAACCTTAATTGTCTACATACATTTAGAACCACAATAGATGGTGTTACAATTTTTGCTTCAACTGACAAACATAATTTAGGAAACTCAAGTGGAGAAGTGTACTTATTCATATTTTCTTCTTACTATGTTTTCCTCCTCCTTGATGTTCCAGGACTACTACTTTTGTCATTTTCTTTCTGTTTAGAAAGTTGAACCATTATTTTCGATAACTATGCTGGTAACATATTTTCTTAGTTTTCCTTCATTTGAGAATGTCTTGATTTCTCCTTTATTCCTCAAGGTTGTTTTCACTAGATACAGGTATCTGGGTTGACAGTTCTTTTCTTTCAGCACTTGAAACATTTTATGTCACTTCCTTTTGGCCTCCATAGTTTCTGAAGAAAAATCTGCTGTCATCCTAATAGTTTTATGCCTGCAGTCAAGATACAGTTTTTCCACTTGCTGCTTTCAACATATTTTTGTCTTTATTTTTTATTTTATTTATTGTTACTTATTTATTTATATTTTTGAGATACAGTCTCACACTGTTGCCCAGGCTGGAATACAGTGGCACAATCTTGGCTCACTGCACTCTCTGCCTCCCAGGTTCAAGCAATTTTCCTGCCTCAGCTTCCCAAGTAGCTGGGACCACAGGCATGCACTACTACATCCGCCTAATTTTTGTATTTTTGGTAGAGATAGGGTTTCACTATATTGGCCAAGCTGGTTTTGAACTGACTTCAAGTGATTCACCTGCCTTGACCTTCCAAAGTGCTGGGATTATAGTTGTGAACCATCACACCCATTTTTCTATTATTTTTTTAAGCCCAAACCTCACACCTTCTTGGTTTCCTTTATAACCCACCTAGTAATGGGGCTTTAAACAAGTAGCTTAGCAAAGTAGCAGAGCAAACTATCTTAAAACTAGAGATTTAGATAGGGCCTTTGAGTCCCAAACTAGCATTAGAAAATCTGATTCTCAACTGTAAGATTCTATGGTCATTAATGATCTGAGAAATTGGGGTGGCATACAATTAGATACACAGATTTACAAAATACAAGCAGTGATTCCCTAACTCTTCCGTTAGACTAAAAACATTTGTTTATAGACTGACAAACTTTTTTTTTTTAATTTTTAAATTAGGTGACTAATAAAGGAACCAGAAGAATATGGCTGCACAAATACCAGAATCTGATCAGATAAAACAGGTAAGGTATTCTAATTAAGGGGGAAAAGATACTGCAAAAAAATGTAAGGTGCTACCAATGCCACCATGTCAGGCTGGGTGCAGTGTCTCACACCTGTAATCCCAGCACTTTGGGAGGCTCAGGTGGGTGGATCACTTGAGGTCAGGAGTTCCAGACCAGCCTGGCCAACATGGTGAAGCCCTGTCTCCTAAAAATATAAAAATTAGCCAGGCATGGTGGCAGACACCTGAAAGTCCCAGCTACTTGGGAGGCTGAGGCAGGAGAATCATTTGACCCAGGAGGCAGAGGCTGCAGTGAGCTAATATCACACCACTGCCCTCCAGCCTGGGCAACAGAGCAAGACTCCATCTCAAAAAAAAAAAAAAATGTCAGCCAGTGGTTTCATAAAACAATTATTTCTATTTCATTTCCAAAATGGATAAATGATATAAAGCATATGTATTTTTAATTTGACTGATAAGGAAAAATTAAATATTCAACTAGAAAATAAGACTATGTTGTAGATCATATTGTACCCATTTAAGTTAGTATAATAACTGTGATTTCAAGTGTTACCATATGTTTTGTCGAAATATAAAATACTAGTAATTTAAGTTTCAAATCTTTGTTTTAAAAACCAAGTATTAAAGAACATTCTGGTTTGTTTGTAGTTTAAGGAATTTCTGGGGACCTACAATAAACTTACAGAGACCTGCTTTTTGGACTGTGTTAAAGACTTCACAACAAGAGAAGTAAAACCTGAAGAGGTATGGAAATTGTTACTCACTAAATTCTCCAAGCTTGTCATAAACACTGTAAGTAGGGTCCCCCTAAGCACTTCACTTGTTCCTACTTATTACAGGAATTTAGACTACCTTTTATGTTCCATTGCTTGGAAGAACTGAAGCAGCCACCAACCCATGGCATTGAGTTTAACAGCGCCAAATTTAATATGACAGTTACATTGTGCCAAGTCAGACCATTTTAGAGAAGATGCCTGCAGCTGCTGAGTTATTATTGTTCCACAGCAAAGATTCTTACTAATTAGCTTTCAGTCAAGATGGCCTACCTAGAGAAACTTGGCACAGTCTTTCTGTATGGCCCTGGGAATTCTGGTTGGCTTTGGAAAAAACAAAGCTTGAATTTGGTGGTTCATACTGAAAACCCAATCCAATTACAAGTCTTAACTTGTTTTTTTAAGATGAGGTCTTGTTCTGTCACCCAGGCTAGAGTGCAATGGTATAATCATAGCTCAGTGTAACTTTGAACTCCTAGCACTTTGGGAACCCAAAGCAGGTGGATCACTTGAGCCCAGGAGTTTGAAACCAGCCTCAGCAACATGGTGAAACCTTGTCTTTAGAAAAAAATAGAAATAGCTGGACATGTTGGCACATGCCTGTGATCCCAGCTACTCAGGAGCTGAGGTGAGAGGGTCACCTGAGCCCAGGATGCAGAGGTGGCAGTGAGCTGTGATTACACTACTGCACTCTAGCCTGGGTGACAGAACAAGACCCTGTCAAAAAGAAAAAAAAGAAAAGCACCAGCCTGGGCAACTTAGTGAGACCTCATCTCTACTAAAAAATAAAATTAAAAATTAGCCAAGCATGGTGGTGTGTGCCTGTAGTCTCAGCTACTCTGTGGCAGGAGGATCCCTTAAGCCCAGGAGGTTGAGGCCACAGTGAACCACTGGATTCCACCCTGGGCAACAGAGAGAGAACCTGTCTCAAAAACAATAAATACATAAAAAGTAAAAAGTTGAGAATTAAGAATGTTGTTTCTCATGAAAAAGGAACAAACTTACTACTGGCTCTATATTTTAAGAATCGAATCAAGAGGATAGGAATGTGGGCTTTCACTTAATACATCTGCAGAAAATCTAATTGAGAAGCTCCTTGAAAGCAGAGACTTACCATTGCTCTTAGTGACTACAAACTGGTGGGCATTCAATATATATTAATGCTTGTCAGTAGATGAAAGTATCAGTTGAAAGCTATGGTCAGTTGCTGCCAATAATACTATTTAATTCTCAGATATATTCAAAGAAAAGCAAACTACCCACTGGTTCTTTCAGAATTCATGCATTTAAAAAAATTCATATTTTTGTGTTGCCTCTTGGATCTTCCTTTTTCATTCCTAGACCACCTGTTCAGAACATTGCTTACAGAAATATTTAAAAATGACACAAAGAATATCCATGAGATTTCAGGAATATCATATTCAGCAGAATGAAGCCCTGGCGGCCAAAGCAGGACTCCTTGGCCAACCACGATAGAGAAGTCCTGCTGGATGGACCTTTGATGAAAGATTGCCAATAGCTGCTTTACTGGAAATGAGGATTCATCTGATAGAATCCCCTGAAAGCAGTATCCACCATGTTAAACCATCTGTCATGACTGTTTGGCAAATGGAAACCACTGGAGAAACAAAATTGCTATTTACCAAGAATAATCAAAATAGAATGTCTTATTGTTCAATGAAATAAGATGCAACGTTTGTTGAGGCCTTATGATTCAGCAGCTTGGTCACTTGATTAGAAAAATAAACCATTGTTTCTTCAATTGTGACTGTGAATTTTAAAGCAAATTATGTGTTCAATCTGTTCAATCATGTATGAGATAGAAAAATTTTTATTACTAAAAGTAAAATAAATGGAAATATCACTGAGCAGTTGTTTATACTGTATGGTACCATAATATTCTCATTGGACTGTAGAAATGTTGAAATGTTTTTTCAATGAGGATCATCCTCCCAGCATTTCTGTTCATTCATGTCTGCTTCAAATTGCTGGTGAATACATAAATAGTTACTTGCTAATCATTTCAATACACAGTCCTTTTCTTGCCTTACTTCTTGTGTCAGGGTAGGCATTTCATATTCTTATCTTAGCTACATTTTCATATATCTTCAGGAAACCATCCCATCTGCCCTAATTTGGTAATATTTAAGAGTTGACTGTTACACTGTAATGGAGTTCATGTTTGTGTTTTGTTCAAAAGCTGACAGTTATACAAAACCGATTTTAAGGCTTGTCAATGAAAATAAGTAAACCAAAGTTAATGTCTTATGGCTAATGAATCCTGAAACAAATCCAAGCATTTGCAGGAAATTCTAGTTGATGCATAAGTATACCAAGCAGTTTAGTAAAATGTAAGTGGACTAATATTTACTAATCAACTGGCTTATGAATGGATTTCATTTGATACCATTTTAAACCTATATTTAAGGAAACACTAGTTAGCCTGTATGTTTAAATTTGCCAGAGTGATTTCTGTTTTGTATGTTAATGGAAGTAGAAGTATTGTTCTGCTTTAAAATTGAAGTGTTGAAATATGGATAATAGTCAACAAAATATGCAATTTATTATAGTCAAAGGAACATGAAAGAATAGGCTTGCTTCTCTTAAAGCAGCCAAAATTCAGAGATTTTACTTATTTAAGATTTTGGGCAATTAACACACATAGTTTGATATTTCCGTGTAATCAAGTATAACATAGCTATTTACTGTGTACATTTCACAAAGATAATTAAATATGTGCTCACCTGGCAAACAAGGGGAATTTTGTGCAACAGCATCTCAAATACCTTGGGAGGGAGTATGTGTTTGAAAACCTTCAGAAGTTCCCTTGGTTGTCAGCACACTAAAAGAGCATTGCTGAGGTGCTGAACCCCCATTCTATACTCTCCTGAAACAGAATGACAAGTTTTCAGCAAAAATTTAAAGTTATTTAAAACAGACATTCTACAAATCCAAGAAAGCAACAAGCATTAAGAAAAGCATATCAAACTAAAGACTAGACAAGTCTTGTGAAGAGTAGAGTGCAAATATGAGGGAAGATGTTGAGCATCACAGTGATGAAGCTGCAATATTAATAATTTTGAGCCAAATTACAACCAGTATACTCTTACTGTTTAGAAGTGCACTCTTGCATTTGAAATGCTCATGTTCTATAATTTGGGTATGGAGTGAAGAATATACTGAGGGTTTTTTTGTAAGCAGTTGTCTGCTTTTATTAATATCTGATAGGTTATCTTTACATGTGTGATTGATAAAATATAGAGGAAACATCTGATGTTCTAGCTAAATGGAACTTTTTTAATAAATAGATTTCATTATCAAAGAGGTAAAGCAAGATTTAGTGTAACATGAATTACATACCCAGAGGAAAAAAATAAGAGATTTATGAACTCTGATTTCTAAGCACAGTTTTAAAATGAGTTTTAGGATGACTGGCTTTGACGTAACAGAATGAAAAATCGTGAAGAGTGAAAATTAATCATAGCATTTCTGTTTAAGTAAGAACATGGAATGACTCTAGTCTCCTTGTTTTACTTTAAGGAAAGTGAGTCAAAGATGAGTGAAATGATGTAGACTTTCAATGCTGATTAATGCCAGCATTAGGAATAGAACGTAATTTTCTGACCCTTGAGACTAGAGTACTGCCTGTCTTCAGGTATTCAGTAATCACAGGAGTTAAAATCTTGACATATTTCATGTAAGTGGGTAGAAAATAAAATACGGCCCTACAGGTAAATATAATTATAGATTCTTATTAGCTCAAGCTAGTTTTCCATTTATCTGTTGAAATACATGATCATATGAAGAGAAGAATGCGTGACAGAAAAAAATGCTTTCCAAAGATTGGTATTAAGCTTAAACTAGAAAACGATATGGATGTGTCCTGACTTAAATACATCTAATTTTACATTTTCAACAACATAAGATATAATAGTACCTGTTCTCAAGATTGGTGGTGCTAACAATACCAGTCAATTTGGTCAAATAATGGAACCAACTAATATATTGAATCATACCAGCTCCTCAGAAATTTCAATCACAATTATTGTCCCTATGGCCTCATATAAACATAGCCACCATTGAGGTGGCTATAGAACTGTATTTTACCTGACAGCAAAATGAATATTGGGGGTGATGGCAAAGGGGAATGGAGAAGGTTAAGAAGATTGCAGAAAACTGGGTAAAACATTGCCACTTTGGCTGGAATACTGTACTGGTTGGTTCTCAATGTTTTAGTAACCTAAGGAGGAGTTGGGTTTTTTTTTGAGACGGAATCTCTCTCTCTCTCTCACCCAGGCTGGAGTGCAGTGGTGCAATCTCAGCTCTCTACAACCTCCGCCTCCTTGGCTCAAGCGATTCTCCTACCTCAGCCTCCTGAGTAGCTGGGACAACAGGCGTGTGCCACCAGCCTAATTTTTGCATTTTTAGTAGAGACGGGGTTTCACCATGTTGGTCAGGCTGTCTCGAACTCCTGACCTCATGAGTCAGCCTCCTCGGCCTCCCAAAGTGCTAGGATTAACCTGGCATCTAGGGAGTTGTTTTATTTTTAATACTGACACCTGGGTTCCACCTCCCTAGATTCTGATTTAATTGGTTTGGGGTTTGATGGAGAATTAAAGAATAAGTAGCCAAGACTGAGAACTGCAATATAAGTAAAATATGGAAGTATATAACTTCTGTAAGGAACTATTATCACACTTGTAATCCCAGCACTTTGGGAGGCTCACACTTGTAATCCCAGCACTTTGGGAGGCTCACACTTGTAATCCCAGCACTTTGGGAGGCTGAGGAAAGCATTTCAGTTGAGGCAAGTTCAAGACCAGCCCGGCCAACATTGCAAAATGCAGTCTCTACTAAAAATGGAAAAATTAGCCAGGTGTGATGGCACCCACCTATATAATCCCAGCTACTTGTAAGGCTGAGACACAGAATTGCTTGAACCTAGGAGGCTGAGCCAAGATAATTCCACTACCCTCCAGCCTGGGTGACAGAATGAGACACTGTCCACCCCCCTCCCAAAAAAGCTATTAAATAGCAGTTAAAGATTTTAAAACCCAAGTTTGCAAGGTATGTTCAGAACACTTCTAAATCTAATTAAACTATTATATCATAACTCTTAAATATAAAATGAATAGGAATAAAATGTTATAAATTATCTTTTTTCTTTTGACTTATAATTCAGAACTTTCTTCTCCACAATTTGAAGGCCCTTGTTTACAAAAAACAATATAGAATTATAAGTACAAAATTGCTAGGGATGGCAGGCGTGGTGGCTCATGCCTGTAATCCCAGCACTTTGGGAGGCCGAGGCTGGTGGATCACTTGAGGTCAGGAGTTCAAGACCAGCCTGACCAACATGGTGAAACCCCATGTCTTCTAAAAATACAAAATTAGCTGGGTGTGGTAGTGCACATCTGTAATCCCAGCTACTTGAGAGGCTGAGGCAGGAGAATCGCTTGAACCTGGGAGGTGGAGGTTGCAGTGGGCAAAGATCGAGCCATTGCACTCCAGCCTAGGCGACAAGAGCAAAACTCCATCTCAAAAAAAAAAAAAATTAGCTTGGGGGCCTTAGAGGCCTATGCAAATAAAGGTCTTTAGATGTAAGCTTCACTAGTTTATGTAAATCACTTCTGTTTATATCATTTAAGTCAGTTGTAACTGTACATTTTGTCACCAATATTCAGCAGCAATATTCAAACTTGGGTTTTAAAATCTTTAACTGCTATTTAATAGCTTTTTTGGGAGGGGGGTGGACAGTGTCTCATTCTGTCACCCAGGCTGGAGGGTAGTGGAATTTATGACTCCATCTAAAAGCAAAGATCATTAATGTTAGCGGGTATTTTTAGTCCATTTTAAAAATTACCCCATCTGAAAGCAAAGATTAGTACTAAATAAAATACTAAAATACACATTACAGTGATTAATGTGCAATGATTTTGAATGCCTGCAACTTTTTCATTTCTCAAAACCTTTATAATGGTTTAAGCCACTGAATAAAGTAAAAATCTTGGGTGTTGCTGTGAGTCGTCTAGGATTTAGACTTCCTCTTTGTTTCTATAAATCCTGGAGGATGCTGTTCACAGACTGAAAAACAAAACCTTTTGAAAAGACAACAGAAAGAGGCAAAAACAGCTGTAGGCACTGTGATATGCAAGGGGGTTTGCAACACTTAAAAAAATATATAGATTGTACTGATGGGTGTAATGCTGGCTTATCCAGCAACATCAGTTACTTCTTAAAGTAAGAAGCCTCAAGACAAACTGTTTTCCTTTCCAGGGTTTAACACCAGAATAAGGACATTATGATTATGTATATTTATATAATAATAATATCTACCATCATTTTGCCTGACAATATTATGAAGTTTTCTCAAATCCATCAGGAATTAGGTAGAAATAAATTATAACTCAAAATGTGGCCAATAAGTGTAAGATAGCCTGACAGGCATCACTCCAAAGCAGGACCATTTTTATAAAGCAGTTAGAATTTTTAAAAGTTGTTTTGTTTGTTTTTTTGAGACAGAGTGTGACTCTGTCTCCCAGGTTGGAGTATAGCAGTGACATCACTACTGCAACCGCAAACTCCTGGGCTCAAGTGATGCTGTCACCTCAGCCTGCTGAGTAGCTGGGACTAGAGGTGCATGCCATGGTACCCAACTAACTTTTAATTTTTTGTAGAGATGGGATATTGCTTTGTTGCCCAAGCTGGTCTCAAACTGTTGGCCTCAAGCAATCCTCTCCCCTTGGCCTCCCAAAGTGTTGGGATTACAGGTATGAGCCACCACACCTAGCAAAAAGTTTTTATTCTTAACATTTAGTCACTTGGAAAACTCACTGACTTAGAATTTTACATGACAATAAATGAGGTGTATTTATATTTGGCTTTGCTACTCTGTTTGCCCACTTCCAAGTCTATGACTTGAACACTAACTCTAACATAATGGAAGAGTACAGTGTGATGAAGTGAATGTGCTGGATTGTTTTTCTTTAATGAGGCAAGTTGGTGAACACAAATCTAGCTAGTTATTTGACATATAAATACTAATCAATAAATATTTCTCAAGTATAAGCTTTCATAGTAACTCACAAAAGAACATTTACATTCTTACCTCTAGATAACCAAAGTTCTCCCATCTGTACCTCTTGCAAGAAAAGTTCTTGCAATTTTTCATTCTTCACTGGATCCCACAACTAAAATATTCATAAAATATTTAACAATGAGTAATGAATGTAAAGTATATGGTTACTCATCAAATTATTTTTTATTTAAAAAAGACATCCTGAACCTAGTCTCTAAATCCAAAGTATGACAAATATAATTCTTAATAATATTTAAACCAATTTTCTTTTTTTGTTTGTTAATTTTTTGTTTGTTTTTGTTTTTCTTTTTCTTTTTTATCTTAAAACCAATTTTCTAAAATGGGATTATTTCAAGTGATTTTTTTTAAATGATGTATTTTTTAGGTTGAGATGCTTATAATAAATAACTCTCATCCCGTATTTTACCCAGCTACATATAGCAGAAAGTTAATATACTGTTAAACTACTGTAGTTAATATAACAAAGGTGGTTTTGTATGTTGCAAAATTATTTTCTTGCCCAGGATATTAACTGCCTGTTGATTTGGTTGCAATGATTTCTCTGGCTTACAAGGTCATTTTGGTCTTTTAGTTTTGAGACCTCTTCAGGCAGCAGTAACTCTCTAGTAGGGGAAACAAGAAACTATGCTAAGCTTTCTGTACTCACACTCTCCAAAGGAAAGGGACAAAGGATCTGGTGGGGGGTTAGCAGGGGAGTGAGTGTTCAGAAGGATGCTTTGGTTTACTGTGATTGGTTCACGAAGGGAACCATGGCCACAAGATGGCATCATCATTGGTATTACACCTAGGGCTGGTCTTTCAAGGTGTATAAAGGGCAAACCTAGGCCAAAATATCAACTCCACTGCCAGTCACTTCAGCTCCAATCTTTCAAATCTGGAAAGTTTTTGTGGTTTTTATACCCTACAAATTTTTTTTTAAATGGAATGAGCCTGGATGGGGTCACCTTTTAAGCTTGTTTCAGCAGATATACTAATAATCAGTAACATGATCGTTTTACTCAATAGATGTTTAGTGAACACTGGCAAAGGCAGGCCACTCAAGGAAGAGCTTGAAGAAATTGGAGACCAAGACCCCTATGCCTATCCCCAAGGAGCCACAGTCTAACAAACGGAAAGGGATCATGTAGGTACAACAAGAAGTCCAATGTTCTCTGGGGCTCAAAGTATAGAGACATTACATCTGGTTGGAGAATTGCCAAAGCTTTGCTTCTCAGAAAAGCTAAGTGTTTGAGATATGGAGAGGTTTAGTCAAAGTTTGATGAGGAAAGTATAAGCAATGCAAAATTGCAGGGAACATAGCAAGTGAACTTAATTAGCTGGATTATGATAGGGTAAATGTAGCAACAATACTACCATTATTGATAGCCAGCTATAGACTAGGAACTTATATATATATATATATATATATAATTTCCAATCCCTAGGAAAATAAGGCAGTCAATCAAAGGCATGGTGCCAAGCTGAGGCTGGCCTTTTTTTTTTTCAGATGGAGTCTTACTCCATTTCCCAGACTGAAGTGCAGCGGCACCATCTCGGCTCACTACAACCTCCACCTCCCAGGTACAAGCAATTCTCCTGCCTCAGCCTCCCAAGTAGCTGGGACTACAGGCATGCACCACCATGCCTGGCTAATTTTGTATTTTTAGTAGAGACAGGATTTCACTATGTTGGCCAGACTGGTCTTGAACTCCTGATCTCTGGTGATCCATCCGCCTTTGCCTCCCAAAGTGCTGTGATTACAGGTGTGAGCCACTGTGCCCGGCGAGGCTGGTCTTTAATCTTTGGAGTAGGGAGCTACATATTCAGAGCTGTCATTTAGAAGAAATTTACTCTGACAGCATAAGAATGGAGGCAGGGCAACAAGTTAGGAAGCTATTACAGTAGCCTTGGTAAAAGATATTAAAAGCCTTTAGCCTCATGCAAGTAACAGAAATAGCCAAGTGGGATATATATATATCTGAAATAGAGCATTTGAAAATAAGAATTGGTCATTGTTTATGAGGGATGAAGCTGATATTTAAACATGATGAGTCAGGGTCATACCAGGGAGGCAAGTTACACCTAGAGCATCATAAGGAAAGTAGGAGCAGTGGCAAGGCGGGAGATGATGAGTTCACTTCTGGACACACTAAGGTGAGGTGCTAACAGAATGTCCAGATGACAGAGTCTGGTAGGTAGATGAAACTTGGGACACCAAGTCTAGAGTAGTACATTTGAAATCACTTTGGAGAAGGATCTTCTAGGGAGAGGGGCAAGAGTACAGAACCCAAGGCCCATGTTTCACAAAGCATCACCTGAAGGAGCTGTTAAAACTGCCAGTTTCTTGGGCTCCACCTAGACCTACTGAGTCCATCTCTGGGAGTAGGGCCAGGAATTTGCTTTTTTAAACAAGGTCTTCAGGTGATTCTTATGCATCTGAAAGTCTGACAGTCACTGTGTCAGTAAGCATTCTAGTAAGAATTCCCTGGGCTACTGGATCAAAATTGCTGAGATCAGGGTCAAATAATCCATATTTTAACAAATGCTCCAGGTAAACCTAATGCAGCAATCAACCATACTTTGGGAAACTAAGGTCCTGGGAAGAGGAGGAAGAAAGATTCTAGAAAAGGTGAAAAGAGACATCTTTCTCTGCCTTGGTTTATTCATCTGTAAAATGAGAATAGAGGCCAGGCACAGTGGCTCACTCCTGTAATCCCAACATTTCAGGAGCCCAAGCAGGCAGAATGTTTGAGCTCAGGAGTTTGAGACCAGCCTGGGCAATATGTTGAAACCTGTCTCTACAAAAAGGACAAAACTAGCTGGGCATGGTGGTGTGCGCCTGTAGTCCCAGCTTTTCAGGAGACTGAGGTGGGAGAATCACTTAAACCCAAAAAGGTTAAGGCTGCAGTGAGCTGTAATCATGTCACTGTACTCCAGCCTGGACAACAGAGTGAGACCCTATTTCAAGAAAGAAAAAAAAATGAGAATAGGGTTGTGATGATTATATGAAAGAACAATTGAAAAATCCTGCTTCTGCTGCTTCCTCACTTGAAATAATTTATTTCCCATGTGAGAAATAATAATTTATTTATTAATAATTATTGATTTATATTAATAAATTATATAAATATAATTAAATTAGAGTATGATTTAGTTATGGTTTAATTAGTATAAATATAGTTAAATTACATAATTAAAATATGATTATATTAATATAAATAACATTATTTCCCATATGGACTGTCACTGACTGATTTTCCTTTCTTCAACCTCCTTTCTCCACACTGGAACCAGAATTGTCTTATTTAAAAAATAAAACCAAAATAATTGTGTCTGTTCTCTGAGATAAAGTCACCATCATTAGTTACCCACCACAACAGAAAAATGTCCTGACTTCTCAGTTTGCCATTCAAAGTCCTCCACAATAAGACACTAAACTGACCCTCAGCTATCTCTCTGGCCATAAGACTCCTTGAATACTGTAATTTCATGGTCTGTGCCTCTGCACAAGGTGTTTCCCTCTGCCTACAATGAACAACAGCATTGAACAAACATTTGCTGGGCACTTACTGCACTAGACACTGTTCTAGGCACTGGAAATAATAGATAGTAAAAAGCAAAGTCTGCCTTCACAGAGCTTAGTGTAATAAACAGAAAGCATTAATCAAATAATTACATAAATGTGCAAGTGCAACCATGGATAAGGGCAATGAACAAGAGGGACATGGAGCTGAATCAGGCTCTGTCCCAGTCAAGTCAGGGAAGACATCTCCATGTCCAGCTCTTTGGACACTCCCTACCCAGCTAACTATGTCAAATAGGCCTTTATTCTCTACTGTGATTCCATTCTGAAACCCCAGAAGTGTCTTTGACTCCGCCTCTCCATTATCCTTTACTCAGTCAGCATGAACTGTATTCTTCCCTGTTACCACTACCATCACCATAGTTCAGGATTTTTATTACCTCTCATCTAAATTTATGCAATAGCTTGTTTTCTCTTCCAATCCATTAAGCACACTCCTGCCTGATCAATCTAGGAACATTTCTCTTCTGCTTTTCTTCCCTTCTTTTTTAAAAATTCCTACTTAGATATCTTCAGTAATTACTCTATTGAATCTCAATTCCTTAACCTGGCCTTCAAAACAAACCTTCCCTAATTCAATCCCTACTTTCACTCTCCAACCTTAAACCCACTATTCTTCAGCATGACTCCTTTGCCAGAGTGGTTTACTGAATGTGCCTGGCAGATGCCCTACTTTGCATCTTTATGCACATGCTTTTCCTTCCATTCTCCTGAAACCAAGTCCCACATTCATGATCCTTCCAGGTTCAGTTCAATGCCACTTCCTCTACAGTCTTCTCCAGAAAAACTGCATGTTTCAAAAATGGCTACAGCAATATTCTCAGTCCCATAAGTGCTTTCAGAACCTCGCCATCCCTATTGAGAGGTAGAATCTATTTCCTCTCCCTTTAAATTGAGCAGGCTTCAATGTTGCCAGAAGTGGTACCATCTGCTCTCCCACATGGGCACATGTTCTAGTTTACATGCATGTGTATGCTCTATATATACAGATATGTGTGTGCGTGTGTGTATGTGTTTGCTTTCCCCTTGCGACACAGTGCATCACACAAATGAAGAATCTCAGATCACACAGACATGTGTAGGTATTCTGGTTAACAATCTCAGCTAAGTAAACATCGAGCATCAACTGTGGATCGTTTGTGGCCAGGAGTTGGAGATCAACTTGGGCAACACAGGGACACCTGTTTCTCTCTCCTCTTTTTTTTTTTTTTGAGATGGAATTTCGCTCTGTCACCCAGTCTGGGGTGCAGTGGCACGATCTTGGCTCACTGCAACCTCAGCCTCCCAGGTTCAAGCGATTCTCCTGCCTCAGCCTCCCAAGTAGCTGGAATTACAGGCGTGAGCCACTGCATTTGGCTTTTTTTTTTTTTTAAGACAGAGTCATGCTCTGTCACCCAGGTGGCAACTGCCACCTCCCAGATTCAAGCAATTCTCCTGCCTCAGTCTTCTGAGTAGCTGAGACTACAGGCATGCACCACTATGCCCGGCTAATTTTTGTATTTCTAGTAGAGATAGTCTTTCACCATGTTGGCCAGGCTGGTCTCGAACCCCTGACCTCACGTGATCTGCTCACCTTGGCCTCTCAAAGTGCAGGGTTACAGGCGTGAGCCATTGTGTCCGGCCCCTGTCTCTTAAAAACAACAAAAAGGGACTAATCAAATTCTGCTGTAGAGATTTAGAAATCACGAAGATGCGTTCTGCTTCTGAGCTACAAGAAAGGCCCTACGAGAGAGCAATCTAGAAGTTACTGCCATGTGACCGTGGCCAGCCTGGGTTTCTAAGTGTCCTGTGCGGCTCTTGACAGGGCAAAATCTTCCTTCTTCTAGTTAAAAGAAGTGCATGTTCTACAATGTTTTGCTTTACAGCTGCATTTTTATCACTCCAACTTCTTCCTCCCTCCTTCTTTCCCTCCCTTTTGTGAGAGGAGAGTGGCTGGGCCCGGGGCGGTGCGTGGGGCGCCAGGGCAGGCCTCTTCCCCGGCGCAGGAGGCGCGTGGCTGCGGGAACTACCTGCTGCCGAGCCCTCAGGAGCCCCGCGGCCCAGAGAGGCCGGGCCCGCGTCTACAGAGCTCCCTGCGCGGATCGAAAGCACTGCACCTGCACTCCCCGCTCCTCAGCCTTTTGCTGCTCGGCTCTTCTTTTTGCGAAAACACTGCAACTGCTGGCTGGGAGGCCCGTCCCGAGGCAGGCGTGGACCCAGTGGTTCGGCCCGCCCGGGCGCCGCGGTCTCTTCGGCAGTGGCGGAGGTACTCGCGGCCCGACCTCTGTTCGGGGGTGTCCTCCCGGCCGGCCGGCCGCGCCTCAGCCTCGGTCCCACTCACTCTCCCGCAGGCGGCGCTAGAACGCGGGATCCCCGCGCCGCTTCCGGTAAAAGTAAACACAGTAGCCCAGGAAGGCGACGGCGCCACAAGCCGCTGCGGTCGCCAAGAAGCCGAGGAGGGAGCGGACACAGGGAATCCGGCCGCTGGTGTCCCCCGAGCCATGCGTTGGGCGGGGGCCGGCCGACAGGGGGCGTGGGCGCGGCGGCCCTTCAGACCTCTGGGCCTCCGGCGCGCCCAGTGGCGCGTTGACGCCTCGTACCCAGGCTAGCGGACCGGTGAGGACGCCGAGCGTTCGGGAGGATGTGTGCGGGAACCCTCACAGCCACCGAGAAGCAAGCGGAGCTCTGTTCGAACCCAGGTCTGTCGCACTCCAAATTCTGAACCCTTTCTCCAAACACGCCTCTGCCCCTGTGTTTACAACACCCATTCAGGCAAAGCACAGCTGCGAATCCTCTTTGCTGAGAGCCAGTGGTCATTTAGGTCTCTGTTCCCTCACCTTCAATATTAAGTTGACTCTAAAGTCAATTTTGGTTATCTGCTAGTTCACGTTAACACTAGCCCATACTTCCTAACCTGGTATCCTTTGTTGCCTGAAAGGACCCAGCAATCCAAGGTTCAAGGGAGAAATTCAGAAGCAACACTGTTTAGTTTAGAAAAATACGTTAAATTGGATGGACACGGTAGCTCACGCCTGTAATCCCAGCACTTTGGAGGGCCAAGGCGGGTGCATCACCTGAGGTCAGGAGTTCAAGACCAGCCTGACCAACATGCTGAAATCCCGTCTCTACAAAACATACAAAATTAGCTGGGTGTGGTGGCGCATGGCTGTAATTTCAGCTGCTTGGAGGCTGAGGCAGGAGAATGGCTTGAAGCAAGGAGGCAGAGGTTGCAGTGAGTCAAGATCATGTCATTGCACCTCAGCCTGGGCAACAAGAGCGAAACACTGTCAAAAAAAAAAAAAAAAAAAAGGAAAGAAAAGAAAAATACGTTAAATTGCTGGACTGAGCCTAACAGTCAAAGGTCTCAGAGCAAAAACAGAGACCCATGACACCGGTCTAGCTGCTTTTCTAATGTTTGCCTTACTCAGTAGACACAGCAAAAAGAAAGGAGGTAAGACTTTGTCCTAAATATCAGAGTGTTGACTTTTCTACTAAGGCAAAGAGAAGGCATAACCTAGGTAAGGACCTAAAGAACTAGATAATTCATTTTTATTCAGGTTATACAACTGCTATTTACTGATTTACAATTTATTGATATTACTAGTGTATGCATAGCAAAGTGCTCATCACTGCTCTGAGTACTAGTAGGTCTGGCCAGGTGCGGTGGCTTGAGTGCCGTGGCTCACATCTGACATCCCAACATTTTGGGAGGCTGAGGTGGGAGTATCAGTTGAGCCCAGGACTTGGAGACCAGCCTGGGCAACATTGCAAGAATCCATCGCTAAAAAAATATAATAATAAAGGCTGGGTGCAGTGGCTTACCCCTATAATCCCAGCACTTTGGGAGGCTGAGGCAGGCAGATCACGAGGTCAAGAGTTCCAGACCAGCCTGGCCGTCGTGAAGAAACCCCGTATCTAAGAATACAAAAATTGCCGGGCGCGGTGGCGCATAGTTCCAGCTACTCAGGGAGGCTGAGGCTGCAGGATCACCTGAGTCCAGGAGTTCTTGTCTGTAGTGCGCTGTGCCAATTGAGTGTCCGCACTAGTTTGGCATCAATATGGTGACCTCCCGGGAGCAGGGGACCACCAGGTTGCCTAAGGAAGGGTGAACTGGCCCAAGTAGGAAACGGAACAGGTCAAAACTTCCGTGCTGATCAGTAGTGGATCGTGTTTGTGAATAGCCACTGCATTCTAGCCTCGGCAAATAGCAAGACCCCATCTCTAAAAAAAAAAAAAAAAAAAAAAAAAAAAAAATAGCTGGGCGTGGTGGTAATCCCAGCTACTCAGGGTCCTGAGGCAAGAGAATTGCTTGAATCTGGGAGGTAGAGGTTGCAGTGAGCCAAGATCGGGCCACTGCACCCCAGCCTGGGCGACAGAGCAATACTCCGTCTCAAAAATATAAATAAAAAAATAAAACCAAACCAAACCAAACAAAAAATACTGGTCGTGGTGTGCACCTGTAGTCCTGGCTACTCCGGAGGGATCACTTGAGGCTAGGAGTTAGAGGCTGCGGTGAGCTATGGTCACTGCCACTGCACACTAGCCTGAGTGACAGAACAAGACCCTGTCTCTATAAAAATAGATCGTGTTTGTGAATAGGCTGGGCATGGTAGTTCATGCCTGTAATCCACTTTGGGAGGCTAAGGTGAGTGGATTACCTGATGTAAGGAGTTTGAGACCAGCCTGGCCAATACAGCGACACCTGGTCTCTACTAAAAATACAAAAATTAGCCGGGTGGGGTGGTATGTGCCTGCTTGGGAGTCTGAGGCACGAGAATTGCTTGAACTCAAGAGGCAGAGATTGCAGTGAATTGAGATCACACCACTGCACTCCAGCCTGGGCAATAGAATGAGACTGTCTAAAAAAAAAATACAGATAGGTAAATGATAAATTAGTAGATAGATCAAAAAACCAATGGGTCTGAGTAGTAGTTTAGCCCTCAAAATTGAAGAGTTAGCAGGGGTAAGTTACATATCATGCTTTCTTGAGTACTGTATATTTTTTATGATAATTGCCTTCTGGTAAGAACTTGGTTATTGTGAAAACCTGAATGTAAACACAGAGGAGAGGATAGTGTCAGCATCCAGTAAGTATTACTGGTGATCAGGGACTGGTTCAGAATCTTGGCAATGGGATTAGCTCAGCTTTAAATGATCTTTCTTTAGGTTGACGGCAACTTGTCTTCTAACACCACCACCACTCTTGTGGCCTTCCTCCTGTCCTTCACCTTCACTTTCACATAGTTAATCCCTAAATCGAGAGGAATGGAAGCAGGGAAACTGTTGAGATTAGCTGGGTATTCAGGAGTGAAGTAAACAGTGACATATAAAAGTAGGAGAATTATTGCAGCAATTAGGAATAAATAGATTTCTAAAGTTGAAATTGTCACAGAGACCATGAGGAAACAACTGAAAAAATAGGCAAGTTTCTTTGGGAAAGGTAGATATTTTCTTCTCAGATATAGCCACCACCCCTGCTATTCACAATTCTTGTAAAGTTTTGGTCATTTTCATATTGAGATGGCACAAATAATAGTTGTCTTCAAAACATGGTTTTGTGTTGGATGATAGCTCTCTCTCTTTTATTTATTTATTATTATTTTTTGGGACAGAGTTTCACTCTTGTCGCCCCGGCTACACTGCAATGGCACAATCTCCAGGTTCCAGTGATTCTCCTGCCTCAGCCTCCCGAGTAGCTAGGATTACAGGCATGTGCCACTATGCCTGGCTAATTTTGTATTTTTAGTAGAGACGCAGTTTCACCATGCTGGCCAGGCTAGTCTTGATCTCCTGACCTCAGGTGATCTGCCCACCTCGGTCTCCAAAAGTGCTGGGATTATAGGCATGAACCACCATGCCTGGCAGCTGTCTGTCTTTCTTTCTTTCTTTTTTTTTTTTTTTTTTTGAGTCAGAGTCTCACTTTATCACCCAGGCTGGAGTGCAATGGCACATTCTCAGCTCACTGCCACCTCCACCTCCCAGGTTCAAGCAAGTCTCCTGCTTCAGCCTCCCAAGTAGCTGGGATTACAGATGTGCGCCACCACACCAGCTAATTTCTGTATTTTAGTTTATTTTATTTTTTTGAGATGGAGTTTCGCTCTTGTTACCCAGGCTAGAGTGCAATGGCGCAATCTCGGCTCACTGCAACTTCTGCCTCCTGGGTTCAGGCAATTCTCCTGCCTCAGCCTCCTGAGTAGCTGGGATTACAGGCACATGCCACCACGCCCAGCTAATGTTTTTTGTATTTTTAGTAGAGACGGGGTTTCACCATGTTGACCAGGATGGTCTCCATCTCTTGACCTCGTGATCCACCCGCCTCGGCCTCCCAAAGTGCTGGGATTACAGGCCTGAGCCACCGCGCCCGGCCTAATTTTTGTATTTTTAAGTAGAGACAGGGTTTCAACCTTGTTGGTCAGACTGGTCTCCAACCCCTGACCTTGTGATCCGCCCACCTCAGCCCCCCAAAGTGCTGGGATTACAGGTGTGAGCCACTGTGCCTGGCCCACTCTCTTTTAAATCACTTTACAGAGGTAAAATTGATACACAATAGATTGCAAATATTTAAGGTATACAGTTTGATAAATTTTGATGTATGTTTGCATCTAGTAAACTATCATCAAAATCAAGATAGTAACCATATATCTATCTACCATTAAAGGTACCTCTTTAATGCTTTTCTCCATCCTTCCTTTCCCTTGCCCCAAACATAGCCTACATTCTGTCACTATAGATTAGTTTACATTTTCTAGAGTATTATGTAAATGGAATCATACAGTATGTACTGTTTTATTGTCCGACTTATTTCAGTATAATTATCTTGAGACTGGTCCATGTTATTGTATCAATAGTTTATTTTCATTGGTAAGTGGTATATTTTATGGATATATTAAAATTTGTTTAATCATTCATACGTTGATGAACATTTGGATTGTTTCCAATTTTTGACTATTACAACAAATAAAGTTTCCATAAACATTTATATAGAGGTCTTTGTATGAATATGTCTTTCCTATTCTCTTGAGTAAATACCTAAGGTAAAATAGCTGAATCCTATGGTAGGGATATGTTTTTGTTTTTTAAGAAAATGCCAAACACTTTTCCAAAATGGTTATGCCATTTTGCAACATCAGTGTTTAAGAGTTCTATTTCCTCAGTATTGTCACTAACACTTGTCATTGTCACATTTATAAATTTTAGCCATTCTAAATAAGCATATAGTAGATTCTTTCCATGGGTTCATCTTGCATTTCCTTAATGCCTAATAATGTTGAGCAACTTTTTAAATAGACTTTAATTTTTAGAACAGTTTAGGTTCACAGCAAAATTGAGTAGAAAGTACAGAATTCCTGTTCCCCACCCCCCATGCATGCATAGTCTCCCCTATTATCAACATCCCCCACCCTAGTGGTACATTTGTTACAATTAATGGACCTGCACTGGCACATCATTAATACCCAGAGTCTATAGCATTTACATTAGGGTTCATTCTTGGTTTTGTACCAATGTATAATGATTTGTAAAAATATATAGTGACATGTATCCACAATTCTAATATTATAAAAAAGTTTCGCTGCCCTAAGAATCCCCTGTGCTCCACCTGTACATCCCTCCCTGTCCTCTAAATTCTGGCAACCACTTATTTTTTTACTATCTCCGTAGTTTTGCCTTTTCCAGAATGTCATATATTTGGAATCATACAGTATGTAACCTTTTCAGATTGCCTTCCTGTACTTAGTAGTAAGCATTTATCTGGCGCATGCTGTATCCTGTGCTGTACAAGGGTTCAAAGACCTAAGAAGGAACAGTGGTGGATAAAGAAAGACACAAACGAAAACAGAGAGAAAGCTATGCCAGGCAGTCCGGGAGGTAAAGGATGTCAGTCTCTCCGGCACCGACCTGTCTCAGTGTACTTTATTTTATATGTTCACAAAGCACATAACAGAGGGAGGGTGCAGTTACTTAGAACAGCCTGTGGTTATTATTCTCATACTAAAGTTAACTATCTTGCAGCAAGGTCAGTGAAAGCTGGTTATCCCTCTAGGCCGGTGTCTGTCCTACCCTGAGATATACACATCCTCTTAT